AACTGCTGCTTTAAAGTCAGGATTTTCATGTAGCTCTTTAACAAAGAGAGTCTTGCATTCCAGGTTTTAATCTTGGCTTTTTCAATAAATTATCATTTTTATTTAGCAAGCTTCAGCTGACACTAAGATGCTTGCATACAATTTACTTAAGGTACTTGTAGTAATTATGTTAATAGCGGCTAATGTCTACCAGTTATTTACCATCACCAAGCTCTATGGGTGCATTAACCTTCATGTCACTTAATGTTTTGACATGGTTGTGAGGTATTGCCATTTGTATTTAATGAAGAAACCAATGTTTAAAGAGATTGAAGAGCTAGTTAATAGTAGAGCAAGGTAATAAGGAAAGGTGGCGTATTACTGTAGCTCTGACTAGGCAGCATGGAGCTGGGGTGTCAGTCAGTGATAGATTGTTTACCATGCATGTGCAAGGTCCTGGGTTCAATCCCAGCACTATGTAAACAAAACGAATGAACAAAAGAGACTAGATGGTTGAGGGCTAAATTCTGGCTTCTTTGTTTACCAGCTCTTTGATTTTGTTCAATATTTAGTTTTCCAAATCTCTTAGAACTAGAGTGAAAGCCACTGGTATGGTATTTTGGAATCGGTGTAACTGATGTGTAGATGACAGTGGGTAATTCTCTATTTTGCAAGATGCATATATAGTCTCAGATATCCAATTTTGGCTGCCTGATACTGGTTTCTGTGCCTCTGGGAAGCAGAGGAAAATTGTAGTACATAGGCCTTTTTTTTAATCTGGATTGGTTTAAATGGAAGAGTTTATACATATGTCCTGTATATCTTCGAGAAATGTTTAGCTTTGTGTGAGCATTCCCAAAGCCCTGGCTCACATCCACACACAAATGAGAAAACAGAACAGGGATCAGATATAACAGTATTAAAGTGTGACCTCTGGGCCCGGTGTTGGCACACCTTTAATCCCAGCACTCAGGAGGCAGAGGCGTTCGATCTCTATGAGTTCAAGGCCAGCCTGGTCTACATAGTGAGTTCCAGGACAGCTGGGGCTACAGGGAGATCCTATCTCTAAAAGACCAAAAGTAAATAAATAAGATTAAATGTGATTTCTGAAGTAGGACTATGAGTGAGTCTTATTTTATTTGTACTTTTGGGCATTTTGAGAAATTTTAATTCTAAAAAAGGAGTAAAACCGTGTCAATAAAGAGATTTCAGAGTATGTTTGGTGCCTGAAAGAATAATTATGAAAGCAGTTATGCAAAGGAACCCTGTGACAGACTGTTGGTATTGGTCAGTTAGCAGGTCCTTTCTGTGGCATTGTCATCACAGTCCTTATTTCTCCTGCAGGCGCCAGGACATACGATCACCTAAAGAAGACTCGCGAGGAGGAGCGCCTTAAACGCACCATGCTCTCGGAAGTTCTCCAGTACATCCAGGACAGTAGTGCGTGCCAGCAGTGGCTCCGCCGGCAGGCTGACATGTGCGCAGTTAGTCCGGGCTGAAGGAGGCACTCCTTCTGGGATACTCTGGCCTTCATGTGTATTTTTGGACACTTTTGTGGGTACCATTGATGGCAGAGTAATAAGGATTTTATCTGTCCATCTGAGAAATAGTATAGAACTGATAGTTCTAAGAAATATAATTGGGGGGCTGGAGAGATGGCTTAGTAGTTAAGAACACTGACTGCTCTTACAGAGGACCCAGGTTTGAATCCCAGCACCCATATGGCGGCTAACAACCATTGGTAACTCCACTTTCAGGGACTCCAATGCCCTCAGGCACTGCATGATACAGGTACACTTACATACATGCAGGCATAACACATTTGCATAAATAAAAATAAACTTAAAAAGAATTTTTTTTTTTTTTTTCGTCTTTTTGAGACAGGGTCTCCCTATAACCCCAGCTGTCCTGGAATTTACTATGTAGACCAGGCTGGCCTTGAACTCACAGATATCTGCCTGCTTCTGCCTCCCAAGTGCTGGGAAAAAAATTTTTTTTAAAGAAACATAATTGACTTTGTACAAGTCCGTCCCTTTTTTTAATTCAGAAAGAATTATGTTTTTAAGATTTATTTTTAATTTTTAATTGGTATATATCTGTGCATATATTCATGGTGCCCATGGAGGTCGGAAAAGGGCATTGGAGTCCCAGGAGGTGGAGTTATAGGCTATTGAATAGCTGCTTGATATGGGTGTTGGAAACTGAACTCCAGTTCTCTGGGAAAGCAGTACACTCTCTTTAACTTTAGCATCTCTCTCGCACCCTTATTTTGTTCTTATTTCTAAAAAAAATAGTAGATTTTCAGCAGGGTAGTGGTGCACACCTACAATCCCAGTGATCTGGAGGCTGAGGCAGGAGGATTGCTATGAATTCCAGACCAATGGAGGATACATAGTAAAACCCTGTCTCAACCCCCACCCCATTGTCTTCTGGTATGATTTTTTTTTTTGTGACATTCACCTTCCCCACCAACAGCATGTTCCATATTAAGAGCTCTTAGCAAACCTGAGGGTATTTTGCCCTGCAGAATAAATTTTCTTTCCTGTCAGTACAGTGAGATGTCTTACAAAATGTCATGCAGTCTCATCACAACTTTCCTTTGGTGACCTTCCTGATAAATGGCACCCATGAGGGATTTTAGAAATTGCCTTCTTTTATAGGACCTAAGTTTAAATTCCTTTTCTTTGTTTTAGTGATTCTGGACTGAGTCCTTCTGTTCTGATGGCTTCAAACTCAGGTAATTATTTCTTAGGTTAATGCAAGGGGTTTTTTTTGTTTGTTTGTTGTTTTCTCTTTCTTTAGCACTAGGGATTGAACCCAGGGCCACATGCATACTAAGCAAATATATATCTACTTTATCACTGAGCTACACCCCCAGCCTAGAACAAGTCTTGACTATATAATTTATATTTCAAGGTACTATGGTGGCACAGCTGTCCTCCCTCTGTGGGAGCAGCATGTTTTGTTGGAGTGATGGTAATCACCTGTTGACTTACTTTATAAATGTCAGCATGTTTTCAGACATTCATGGTCAGACAGGGATGGTCCTGTGTAAGTTAGAGATTTAAGGGATTTCTACTTTGAAGTTTACCTTTTTGAGTTTGTCCTACTTTGAGACTAGTTTACAGAGCAAGTTTAAGCCAATATGATCTGATGATTCTTAGTGATTATTAACATTTTGAGAGATATTAGTTATAAAGTTCCTGAACCAAAATTGTATTCTTTGCCTGTTGTCCTGGTTATCCTAACCCTGCTTCATTTGGTATCCATGTCTCCCAATCTGAACCTCTAGACCACTCCACTGATAAGAAACCTAATGAGCTAATATGATCCATTTGCCATTTTCCTGTTGTTTATAGGCTTGGAACGACAAACCTTGCAAAATCTCTTAATACCAAACATGATGGTCTACATAGTGAGTTCCAGGACACCTAGGGCTACAGGGAGACCCTGTCTCAAAAAAAACAAAAAACAGCAACAAAAAAAAAAAACCCTTGTATGTGTGTACCTAAGTTTATGTATGTGCACCGCATTTGTGCAAGTGCCCACCGAGGCCAGAAGAGGATGTCAGACCCCCTGAGACCAGTAACAGGTGGTTCTGAACTGCTTGATATGGGTTCTGAACCTGGGTCCTCTGTTAGAGCAGTAAGTGTTCTTAACCACTGAGCCATCTCTCCTGTACCTCAAGTAATTATTTTTTATTTTAATTTTTAAATTTTATTTGTATGTGTTTCGCCTGCATGTATTTAAGTGTACTCATGCATGTAACCACCTCGAACGAGGGCATTGGGACTCCTGGAACTGGAGTTACTGACAGTTATTAGCAGCTATGTGGGAGCTGGGAACTGAACCCAAGTTCTCTGCAACAGCAGCCAGTGCTCTTAACCATTGAGCCATCTCTCTAGCCCCAAGTAATTATTTCTTAATATTTGAGAGAAAAGAGAGCCTTTTGTTCTTTTGGGGGGGGTTGGTCTTTTTGAGATAGATCTCCCTATAACCCCAGCTGGCCTGGAACTCATAGAGATCTGCCTGCCTCTGCCTCTGAGTGCAGGGATTAAAGGTGTGCACCACCTTGCCCAACCTAGAAAAGAGAGCCTTTAAGAAGTCACCAAGACAGTGAAATTCAGGTTTCACTTTGTAAACTTCTTATTTCAAACTCCTTCCCCCAGGCCATATACAGAAATACAAATAACTTAATACTGGCTATTTCAAATGAATTATAAATTGGCCAATATGACTTTGCAGCTTTGGTTTCTGTGTCTCTTTAATCATGAACACTCATTCTTTCCTCCTAGGCTGGTGGCAGCATTCCTTCCTTACCCCTTGTATTAATGTTGAGGAGTCTCCTGACTCCTTTATGCTCCAAGTTGATTGTAGCCTAGCCTCTTGGGTGACTTGTGAGGTACCACATGATCTTACCTCAATTTCTGAGCATTTAGGGTAGACCCTTGTCCCTTGTTGATGTCCCATGGAAGTGTATTTTCCAACATAACAACTTATAGCAGTCCCTTTTTTCTGCCCCACTCTAGTGGCAGTCCCCCCAAACTTGTTAACATAGTAATTCTACATTCACTTTTGCTTAACTAACTCCATGCATCACCAGTTTAACATTCATCCAAAATACATATTCGGAATAAAACTATGGGCCAATAAAAATAGCTCAGCAGGCAAAGGTGCTTGTTGAGTTCGATCCCTGGAACCAACATAAAGACAGAAGAGAGCTAACTCCATAAAGTTGTCCTCTGAGTTCCACATCCACACTGTAGCATGCACCTCCCCACACACATAATCTTCATCGTCATCATAAGGAAAAAAAATCTGTGGGTTAATCTTTATACCTGATCTTACAAGTTGAGTACTGTTTATACTGCTTGAGTTTCTTTCTTGGGCATGTAAGTTGATGTTGGCTTAAAGTTCAGTGTGTGAATCTTAAAGTTAAACAAGACTCCTTTGAAAGGAAAATTAAATAAATAGGGCCTTTGCTAGCCTAACTCTGCCTTTGATCTAAAGGCACATGGTACTTGGTTAATTACCATGTTTGCCTTGTCCTGCTGGCATAATGGTGACAAGAGAGTTTCTCTCCTGCAGGACTGTTATTTCCATTCATCAGCAGTCAAGACAGGCAACATATATAATCTTTATAAAGTGGATGGACATACCGGCTTTAGATTTTAGAGTGTTCTGTGTGATGGGAACAGATAGGGGATACCTATACTGTGCTGAGCCATCATATCTGATGTGAAGGTGTGCATGATTATATTTGTATTTTGACAGAGCAAAGGACATATGAATTGTTATTTTATTTTCAAGTGAATGTTGGGGTGACCATGGAAAGGGAATGGGTTGAGTTTTCTGTTTTACACTTGAGCAACTGATACCACTCTGAAATGTTTGTTCTTTTGTTTCTGTGTCTCTAGGAAGACGAAGTGCACCACCCTTGAACCTCACTGGCCTCCCTGGTACAGAGAAACTAAATGAAAAAGAAAAGGAGGTAATAAGAAGGAAGGGAATAGAGGAAAGAGAAGAGAGGCTGATTAGTTCATTGAGTTGTCACTAAAAATCCATTACAGCATCAAACCTATTTTATTCCACTCATGTAACATAGGTGTACAGCTCTAGTCCATCTTAGACATCTAGAAGCTAAAGAGTTGACCTTGGCAAACATCATAAAACTCCTTTCAATCAGGCATGGTGGCCTTTAATGCCAGGACAGTGGTTAAGAACACTTACTGCTCTTCCAAAGAGTTCTGAGTTCTTTTCCCAGCAGCCACATGGTGACTACAACTGTCCATAAATAACTCCAGTTCCAGGGGATCTGACACCCTCTTCTACTCTCCACAGGCACTGCATGCATGTAGTATACCTAACATACATGGAAGCAAAACACTCATGCACATAAAAATTAAAAACAAAATAATAGCAATAGCTGTCATTTACTAAGTTTTTATCTATACAGACACACCACTAGATGCTTTATGTAAGTGAAATTTTACTTGAAGTAGCTTCTACATCAAATAGGCATTTTTTAAAAAATATATTTTATTATTTTTATGTGTATGTGTGTATTGCCTGCATGTAGGTAAGTGCACCCGTGTCATGCAATGCCCACAGAAGTCAGAAGAGGCTGTCGGATCCCCTAGAACTGTAGTTACAGACAGTTGTTAGCTGCCATGTGGGTGCTGAGATTTGAACCCATGTCTTCTGCAAGAACAGTCAGTGCTCTTAACCTCTGAGCCATCTCTCCAGCCCCTTAATAGGCATTTCATATTAGAATAGTCACTTTGAGACATTCTGCATTTATTCCAACAGTATAACCATCACTTAATTTTGTTTTTTGAGACAGAGCCTCCCTGTAACCATAGCCGGCCTAGAACTTACTACATAGACCAGGCCTGCCTCGATCTCACAAAGATCTGCCTACTTATGCCTCCCAAGTGTTGGCACTTAGAATTTTTAAACTGTGTCCATACTATGTTTATAATCATAAAGAATTGCATCATAATTGCACATTAATTTTGATTTTAAAAATGCCATGACTTTCTTTACCATTATAGTCATCAGACTGTCTCTGTCTTACTTTTGGCTGTTTTAAACTTTAAATCTTCACATCTTCTCTGTAATCCTAGCACTTGGGAGCCCAAAGCAAGAGGATAGAATTTGAGGCCAGCCTTAGCTACACAGCAAGAGCTTATTGCAAAACAAACCAAAGTCTAGCTAGGCATGGTACTGGATACCTGTAATCCCAGTACTTGGGAGGTGGAGGCAAGAGGATCAGGAATTCAAGGACATCCTGGGCTACATGAGACCCTGTCTGGAAAAAAAAAATTTTTTTGATGCATGTTTTGGTATGGTAGTACATGCCTTTAATCCCAGCACTTGAGAGGCAGAGGCAGGTAGATATCTGTAAGTTCAAGGCCAGCCTGATCTATATAGTGAGTTCCAAGTAGTCAGGGCTAGTAAGACCCTATCTCAAAAAAACAAAACAAAACAAAAAAGTGTGTTTGGGCTGTAAAGTCCATTTCAGAAGAGAAGCGCCTGAGCCAGCAAGATAGATCAGGAGATAAAAGGACCTGCTGCAGAACCTTACTACCTGAGTTCAGTCCCAAGGACCCATATGGTAGAAGGAGAGAACTAGCCTTCATACATGCCCCAGGTGTCCCTTCCCCACTAAATAAATAAAATAACAAAATAGGAGCTCATCCTTTGCTCCTTACAAGATCCCTTTACAGTTCCTAGTGTCAGTCTTCCCATCTGATGGTCCCTGTCATTAGTTCATGCCCGGTATTAAGGAAAAGTCATGATGTAGGAACCTGTATTACTGTCTTATTTTATCCATCATCCATAATAAAAGTTTCTTTTGGAATAGAAGAAAGTGTATGTTGAAAAAGGTCACAGACCAGTGTCTCAGTATTCAGATGTTGAATGGTCTAGAATTTCAAGCATTTTTTTATCTTTACCCACATAATGGTGACCTCAGACTATGCATTGTTGGATAATGGCAGGTGAGCCGGAATTGAGCCAACTTTATTTTTAGCAGTAAAGGTGGCCACTTCCCCACAGTAGGAAATGATGAAAACAGAGACTTTATTATGCCAATATCAATGGTATGATTCACACTTGGGAATCCAGTACCTGCAGCACCACCACCCTCTGCCGTGTCTGCCCTGTGGCATTTCCTGACTCAGTGTCAGAAGGGTATTGGGCCTCTACCCCAAGCATTTAGAACTCAGTACCTGGGTGAGCCAGACTGCTTCTCAGGAACATGTACTTGTATTTCCTACTAAACTAGGTCCTTGAGCCAGCCTTCACTTGCTAAAGGCTCTCCTGGCATCACACCCTGCTTTTTGTTTCCTGAGTGTCTGTCTCCAGAGAAGAGACTAAGTGGAATGTGGTCCAGCCACTCAGCAGCTCTCATAAATAGTTGGAGATTGATGTCACCTTAAAAAAAAAAGTATTTATGTATTTTATGGTGGTAGGGGAGGATGTGTGTGCCAGAGTGTTGCACGTGTGGAGGTCAGAGGACACTTTGAAGGAGTCAGTTCTCTCCTACCATGTGGGTGCCAGGGAGCAAACTCAGTCATGAGTCTTGGTGGCAAGTGTCCTTACCCACTGGGCCATCTCGCCAGCCCCCACCTTTGTTTTTTTTTCCTTTTGGTTTTGTTATCCCTGCTGGATTAAATTATGAGAATGACAGATGTTAGTGTTTATTAAATTTGCTGTGTCTTGCAGCTCTGTCAGATGGTCAGGTTGGTCCCTGGAGCCTATTTAGAATATAAATCTGCTCTGCTGAATGAATGTAACAAGCAAGGAGGCTTGAGACTGGCACAGGCAAGAGCACTCATCAAGATAGACGTGAACAAAACCCGGAAAATCTACGACTTCCTCATCCGAGAAGGGTACATCACTAAAGCCTGAATCTCAGTGTACTTGGCAACACAGGCCAAAAGTTTGTAATGTGGTGGGTCAAAGGACAGTGTGAGCATTCTGGAGTTGAATTCTGAGTTGAATTCTTATTTTGAAAAGCAGGAAAGACTCCATAGAAAATCCTGTTTTAACGTCTGCTTTCCTCTCTGCCATTTTGAAGCACTCCTGTTGTTGGTATAGTGCTGCAGAGTTGTGTGCTCAATAAGCTATTATTAAATACGAGTGGGCATTCATTCCTAACACCTCTTGTAACTAAAACAAGAACCATAGTACCTCACATCATAGTTTTGGTGAAAATAGAACCAAATCAAGCCACAGCATTTCATCCCAGGAGTCCAGCTCAGATCCTTGCACTTGAGAGCTAAGTTTGCTCATTCTCTCTTCTGCCTTCAGATGTTGCAGACAGATTTTAAATGAAGAGGAAAGGTTTTTAGAACACAAGAAAGCTTTCTCTTTTAAGAATTTTTTAAGCTGACAGTGTATGCTTGTGAGCTGAAGATGTGGAAAATCTCTCCATGATGGTCCTGTCTCAAACTGCATTTTTAACTTTAATGTTGGCTTTGTACTTTGCAGTCTGGCTGTCTGATCTGCAGTAGACTCCTGAGGAGGTGGCACCGGATATAAAATGTCTGTTATATTTAGAGTTAATGGATTAAACTGTTTTGCTATTTAATTTGTGGGTGTGTCAAATATTCTGGTAACTAAAGCACACGGAGGGTGCTGGATGCCCTCCTCATCACGCTGCACTGTCTGTGCTTACACATGTGTCCTGTGTCCTGATCTCACCTTGTTCTTACCCTGGGTTTCCCAGGATACAAGGCCCATGAGGATGGAGATGATACAACTTAATGTAACTTTGCTTGGATTGAGAACTGAACCCTAATATCTCAGTGGTGAAAGGCTAGCCTGCAATAAAACCTGCTTTAAAACCTAAGTGAAGCAGCTTCGTCTGAGACTCACTGGCTGTGAGGGTGAGGAGCCCCACCACATCTGAAACATGGTCCTCAAGTCTCCCTGCAAACTAAGAAGTCAAACTCATAATCATGGTTACCTTACATGTGTTGGGGTTGTATATAGAAGTGGCTTCTTTAGAATCTGCATAAATCACCTCCAGTAGCTAATTCTTTCGTTCCTTTACATTCAAACATCTAAGGATGTGCTTTGTTGGAAGTTCCTGCTCAAACTTGTAATGATAAAAATACACATACTACTTCCTAATAGATACTCAGAGGATGAGAAATGAACACTGTGTGTGTGGTGTATGGTGTATGGATGAGTACAGGTACGCCTATGTCACAGAGTACGTGTGGAGGACAGAGGACAACTTTCTGGAGTTGGTTCTCCTTCTACCACTAGTTCTAGGGATCAAACTCAGTTTATCAGATTTGTGCAGCAAGCACTTTTACCCTTGGAGCCATCTTGCTGGCCTCAAAAGAACACTCATTAGGATCTGAGAAAAGTCTAACAGAGGACTTCACTGCTCCTTTTCTTCTCTTTTCCTTCACTTCTTTAAAAAGGAGAGCTTATAGAAATGGTTTCTTTTATGTGCTAGTCATATTCCATAGAGAATGTATTCCATTAGCACCTTCAACTCTGGTTGAAGCAGATTGAGCAGATTCCATTTCATCCATAAAAGGAAATTCTTGTTGATACAGTGGACATGATATCCACTGGTAAGATCTGTTGTAGTATACAGGTTTTTGACTTTTGGTTTTTTGGGTCTTTTTGAGATGGTCTCAGTCTCCCTGTGATCCCTGGAACTTGCCATGGAGACCAGGTTGGCCTTAATCTCATAGAGATCCACCTTCTTCTGTCTCCAGAGTGCTGGGACTGAAGGTGTATGCCATCACACCCAGTGAGTTTTTCATCTTGATTAAGGAAATCTTCCTTGGAGAAGAAGGCTTTTGAGGCAGTGATAAAATCAAAAGGAGAGGGGAAAAAATGGCAGATGGAAGTGGAAAACTGTTCTAGACACAGGGGTGGAGGACAGTATGGAGGCGGGTGGTGGGAGTAAGAGACTTGGCTGGGACACAAGGGGCAGCTGTGGCAGTTAGGAATGGGAGGATGGTAGGACTGACTGAAACTGGGAGCCAATTGAATACTGAGAGTGCTTCAGGATCAGATTTGATGTGAAAATGGCATGGTTGAAAATAATGATAGGAAAATAAAGCAGTAATTACAGATAACTAGATTTTAGGAAGTAGGATTACTATTGCTTTGGTAAACCCTACTTTGTAAAATTTCAGACCCTGTATCCCTATTGGATTTCTCAAATGTGTAGCCTTTTGAGTGAGGAGAGTTTTTTTGCTTTGAGGGTTCTTAAATTTGTATGGTTTTGGTTTTGGTTTTCTTTTTGAGATGTGGTCTCACCATGTAGCCCAGGCTGAACTCACTTGTGGCAATCCTCCTGCCTCTCAACCTCTCAGCTGCTGGAATTACATGTATGCTTCCATGCCTAGTTACTTTTTTCTGAGGGTCTGAAGATTAAGCCCAGTGCCACACTCATGCCAGGCAAATGCTCTACCACTGAGTTACATTTCTAGCCAAGGAATCCTCTTGAAAGGGATCACTGTATCCTTATCTTTTAGTATTTACAACAGAAAAGCACTTATGGTATTTGATATATCTATCTTTAATACATTTGGTGGTTTGACTGAGAAATGTCCCCCATGAGCTCCAGGTATTTGAATACTTGGTCAGTTGGTGGTGCTTTGAGGGTTCACAGCTTTGCTCCACTTTGAGTTAGCAGTCTCTGCTTCCTGTGCCTGTTTGAAGATACCAGTGGTCAAATTTCTCTCAAGGTGCCTCTGCACCATGCTCCTTGCCTTGATGGACTCTACCCCTCTAGAACAGTAAGCCAAATAAACTCTTCTTCTATAAGTTGCCTTGGTCATGACATTTTATCACAGCACCAGAAAAGCAACTCAGACAATACATTGTTTCCTTCCATGTCCTTTTCTTAAAAAAGGTTTATTTCTTATTTAAGTGTATGTTTGTGTCCCTGCATAAGTTTTAAGTGCACCATATATACACAGGTAACTGCAGAGGTCAGATGGCATCAGATCCCCTGGAACTGGAGTTACAGGCAGTTGTGAGCCACCTGATGTACTGGGAACCAAACCTGTATCTCCTGCAAGAGTAGTACATGCTCTTAACTGTGGAGCCATCTCCCCAGCGCCTCCTTCTGTGGTCCTGGTACTAGAAAGCCAGGGCTAGCAAGAGGCTTTCCAAGAACATTTCATCCTTCTCTTTGCTCCCAGACAAGGTTGGCTGAAAGCCAGATACATTGGTAGAGATTGTTCCTGGTCAGCTCAAAAGAGGGAGTGTACTCTGAAATTCAGCAAGAACAAAGACCCTGTACTTTTAGGATTTTTTTTATTATAATTTAATATTAAAGCCTTCTGGCAGACTTTTATGTATATCCTATCTTAGTGGTGGAAAATTGAAAACATCTCTGCATATAATGACTCTTTCCTATAATAGCAAACCAAACACATTATACTTCTTTCTCCTCCCCTATCCTCTCTCTCCAGACAGGGTCCTAGTACAGCCCATACTAACTTTGAACTTAAGATCCTCCTGCCTCAGCTTCCCAAGTACAGGTGTGCCCAGCCATACCCAGCATACCTGTCTCTTGTGAGAAATCCATTAGTTAATAGGAAATATTCACAGGTTGTCTTTTTCTGAATCTCATTTTCTGTTATTTACTCCAGCCCCTTTAGAATCTAGTTAAGCAATCAGGCATTAAAGTCTAACTGGAGAGCTGTTGAGATGGCTCATCAGGTAAAGGCACTAACCACCAGGCCTGAGGACCTGAGTTTGATCCCGCAAGGACCCACATGGTAGAGGGAGAACCGACTCCAGAAAATTGTCCTCTGACCTTCACTTGTACACACATGTCCATAGATAAACATACATACAAATAAGTAAATGTAAGAAAAAAATTAACTCTTAAAAAAATAACTAGAAAAGAAGGAAGACCAGTGTCCTTCATCTGTAATGAATTTTCCTAATTGGGAAATTAGGAAATGTGCAGATAGAATCAGGACACTGAAGAATCAGAGGCCCAGAAAGAGAACAGCTTGGGAAAATTCATATTTACTTACCAAAAATCACTTCCCTGGGGCTGGAGAGATGGCTCAGGGGTTAAGAACAGTGTCTGTTCTTGCAGAAGACCTGGTCAAATCCCAGCATCCACATGGCAGCTAACAACTGTCTGTAACTCCAGCTCCAGGGGATCCAACAATCTGTTCTGTCCTCAGGCATTGTCCAACATAGGTGCACTTACCTACATGCAGGCAATACACGCAGGCAATACACGCATACACATAAAATATAAATATTTTTTTAAAAAATCACTTCCCACCGGGTGTGGTGGCACACGCCTTTAATCCTAGCACTGGGAGGCAGAGGCAGGTGGATCTCTGTGAGTTCAAGGCCAGCCTGGTCTATATAGTGAGTTCCAAGACAGCTAGGGCTACAGGGAGACCCTGTCTCAAAAAGACCAAATAAATAAATAAATAAATAAATAAATAAATAAATAAATAAATCACTTCCCTGTTCATCTCTACGCAGGAGAGTAGGTTTCTCTCTGCTCTAAACTGCATCATGGACAGTCAGGGATTTGTTTTGGTTTTTATTTTTGAAGCGTCTCCCTTTAGTTCAGGCTGGCCTCCCTATGCAGTTCAAGGTGGTCTTGAACTCAGGATCCTCATGCTTCTGCCTCTCAAGTACTGGGATCTTAGGCCACAACACCTACTCATCCATTGACTTTTTTTTTTTTAAATCAGGTCTCACTTTGTAACCCTAGCTAGCCTGGAACTTAATATGTAGACCTGCCTGGCCTTGAACTCATAGACATATGCCTGCCTCTGCCTCTCAAGTACTGGGATTAAAGGCGTGTGCCACTACGCCCAGCCTGGTGTTGGTTCTTTTTAAAATGTATTTATATCGTGTGTATACCACACACACACCACACCACACATATCATGCTACATGTGTGAAGGTCAGGCAGAAGCAGGAGGATCACTGCAAATTTGAGGCCAGCTTGGTTTACATACTGAGTTCTAGGCTAGCCAGGGCTACATAGCAAGAAATTATCCAAAAGAGTAAAGGGCATTCAACTGAGGAACTTTGGGTTGGTTTGTTTTTCATTTTTAGTTTAATCTCTCTGTAACTCACTGTGTAACCCAGGCTGGCCTCAAACTCAAAATCCTTGTGCCTTAGCCTCCCAAGTTCTGGCTTTTAACTAGGGAATTTTGGATTCTGAGGATGGGACATGGTATCTGGGAAGATGGGAAGCCAGTTTCCATATCTATGGCAGGAGCTCTTCTATTCCTTCTCCATCTGCTGTCCTAGCGTTCAGCATTTGAGCTACTCTGCAGAAGGGTGTCACCTTCCCTTTGATTTCTCTGACCAAGCTCACCAGTCAGCAACACAGGTATCTGAGGAAAAGATGAGTGTTTTGCATCTGACACTAAAAGCTCCTTTGTTGGGGCTTGGAGAGATGGCTCAGCAGTTAAGAACACTATTCTTGCAGAAGACCTGGGTTTGAATCCCAGCACCCACATGGCAGCTAACAACTGTCTGTAACCAGTTCCAGGGGATCCGACAGCCTCTTCTGTCCTCCGCAGGCATTGCACAACACAGGTTCACTTACCTACATGCAGGCAATACACACATACACATAAGAATAATAAATAAAATATTTTTTAATTTCTTTTGTTACAATGAGTTTCTTATTAACAAGCATCAAGTATTAGGCCCCTTTCCATGTTGAGAACAGGAATAAAGTAGAGCTAAGAATACAGTGACTACTAAAAGCTTTAAAATCCAATACAAAAAAAAAAAAAATTGATCCAACAGATGTAGCCCTGAAGCTCACTGTACTTGCCTTGTATTTGAAGACTGTGGTTAAACTTTGTCAGCCCAGACTTGTCCTATACCA